AGGCTAGGCTCTGGCTGGGCAGGTGGGAAGGAGTCCCCAGACACAGCCCAGACATCACAATGTGGCCACAAGCCCCTATCGGAGGCCTGGGATGGCAACACAGACAAAAACACCAACACCCTGCAGCAGGCGGGGTCTTCTTTCCCGACAAAAACATGTAAACAGAACAGGAGCTACAGTACTCTTTTCCCACAGGATTTCTCAGAGAGGAATCGACCAGGATGTCACTTAAGAGGTAGTTTTTTTTTTCTTTTTCATGGAAATTTGAGTCAACAACATTATCACCTAATACAAGACATTTCAGAGAAAGAAAACAGCAGTCACCAGAGGGCAAAGGCGGTCCCTTCCACTAGCCCTTGAGCTGGCAGAGGGGCTGGCTCCTGGTTCGGAAGACTAGCTCCCACCAGTACCACAACTTTTTCCTGGGCTTAGAGGACACTGTGGCCTTGCCCTCAGCTTCCCTTTGAGCCTACAGGGACTCCTGAGCAGGCGGTGGCCCATTTAGGGCTGCAGGCCTGGAAGAGGGAGGCTAGATGGGACTGGACTGGACAGAAGGACCAGGCTTCTTATGAACTGGTAGAGGCAGGGCCTCTGTGGCTCTGGTTGCAGGACAGCCAGAAGTCAAGTCTCAAGGCCGCCCAGGTCTGGCCGAAGTGGAAGCCCCAGTTGGTTCTCTGACTAGCTCTCCAGAGCTCCTTCCTTTGAGGAGACAGTCCAGGTCTGGTCCCCAAGCCCAGAAAAGATATTGCTTGTGGCAGCTAAGAGAGGGGTTTCTGGGGACCCTGTAATTAAATACACATCCCTGAGCTATGGCCCTAGAAACCCTTACTCAAGGCTAACCAGATTCCAGCACCTGGTGGAATGATTGCCGTTTCTCATCCAGAGACACAGATAAAACATCATTTCATGGACACTGGATATAGATGCTTCAAGCCAAGGAAAAAGACAGGATAATCACCTGCAAAGGCAGAGGGGAGTTCGGGGGAACTCTCTGTGGATCAAAGGGGATAAAGAGTAGTTTTTTTTTTTTTTTTTTTTCTTTTTTTTAACCTTAAAAAAAAATCAACAAAGAAAAATGCAAAGTTTAATAAAGGGGCTAGTTTGAAAAATTGGATCTCTTAAAACAATTGCAAAAATTTAAAAAGCGGGAACCAGCAGTTAGCGTAATGGCTATGTCGCTGGACTCCCACATAGTCGACCGCGGTTCGTGTCCCGGACCCGGTGGCTTAAAACTCACGCCGGGCGCGTGTGCGTGCGTGCCCAAGATCCCGAGAGGAGAATGGAGGAGAAGGGATTGCGGCGTGACCATCCCCCCTGGAGGGTGATTTCTCGCTTTCTGTCTCTATGTCTCTCTCTGTCTGTCTGGCGAGCGCACGCGCCCTACAGTGAAAATCTCTAAAAAAAAAAAAAAAAAAAAAATTAAAAAGCGACAGGGAAAAAAAGACATAGGCCAGGGGTCCAGAGCTAAAGACTTGGAACCACTATTCAGCCTCCTGCCCTGCTGGGAGGCCCCCTTCCTTTGGCCAGTCTTGGATATGGCTTAGAAGTGCCCACTCTGGATTTGCCTGTGCCCATATATCCTATTTCCTAGGAAACCAAGAACAAGCAAATGTAGGAAGTAGTGGAGCAAAGTAGAGAGCCTTGTTTTAAGGACTTGTGACACCGACCATGGCAGATACTCATTTCCCTGAGAACGGGTGGCAACTGAGAGGTAGGCTGGTGTGGAGGGGGTGACTTTCAGGGAAGCCACGGAGACTCCTAGGTTCTTCCTATCCTGTTCTGGGAAACAGGATGGGGAGGTTTCTGCCTCTTCCTTCTGTCCTTAGAGGCTCGCCTACCTCACTATGGGTCATTCACGGGGACTAGGTGGAGTGCTCTGAGATAGCTTCTGGGAAATTTCTCCAGACTGAGGAAGGGTTAGAACACCAAACCTTGCAAAGGACCCCAAACGTCTACAAAGGTAGGCAGAGCATGAGTTATAGACAAAGCTCCAAGACTTAAAACTTTTGTCTTGGGTCAAGACAATGATCAAAAGGAAAGGAAGGGAAAGCTTGCATGTTTCAACACAGTGCAAGGAGGTGGGAATTCTCCTTTTCCCACCCAGCTTTAGGGTCATATTTTTATGGTGGAAAAATTCTCACTCAAAGTGAGTGCTTTTGGTGGCTAGGGACCAGAGCGACAGAGAAGAGAAGAGGAATTAAGAGACAACATGCATAACTTTTTTCTTCTTCCACTAGCAAAAAGGCTACCTGTTAACCAAACATTATGGGAAGAAAGGCGGAAAAACAAAACAAAACAAAACAAAAACCAAGCACACCAAACCTCCTCCTCCAACCTTTCTCTGTGTCCTTCAAACCAAATTCACAAATACATCTAGTGGCTGACCTAATGTCTCCACGCTGCTAGCTATACTCCTACCTCCTCCTCATAATACCTGAGTTTGCAATGCAACATTCACTTTACCCTGTTTAAAAAAACCCACGTCATAAAGGGACTGGGTGCAGAAGACATTAAAGGCAGTCCACAGGTCAGGCTCCCGCTCGGAACACAGGGCCACTTGGCTCAGAGATTCTGCAGGGCTCTCGGCAATGAATGGGCTCTTTGTTCTGTGGAATCTGCTGCAAACATTTGTAAAAATGGATCTGCACAATGGCAACTTGCAGAACCTTCCCCCCACTCCACAAATTAACAAATTGCTCTGTTTAATACTACATGACTGGAAAGACCTGCTCTTGCCTCATCAGAGAGCAACTTTCTTTGACACCCAACACAATAGAAAAATGCTTAATTTGAAAAGGAGTTTGATAAAATAATAATATGATAGATGGAGGTTGAAGTAAAGAGAGAGGTTTCACACGGGAGCTGTCTTGGAGAAGGGGGTCTCTGATATGTCTTCCCTCCTCTAACTTGAGGGAAGCAGCTCCGAGTCTGACCTATAGCCAAATGTGATCGTGTTGGTTAAATAAAAAATTCAGGGAAACAAGAAAAACTGTGAACTTAGAGAAATAAAACAGTTACAGACACACACACACACACACACACATCTTCCCATTGACATGTGAAAAACATGCTAGCTGGATGAGGAAATATCTTCTTTCTTACTCAGAGTGGCTGGGCAAACAGCTTTGAAGAGGAATGCTCTGAGTATTAGCTCCATCGAGGGACAAGATCATCACTATGCTGTACCCGTAACATTTCACCAGAGAGAAAACATTACAACCAGTCACAGACTACCCAGTATGCACACTGTGGTGGTCCCCTGGGTAGGTTTACTAGGCTGAGGTGGGGAGAGAGCAAACAGCCTTCGACCAAACAGGCAGAAGGAGGTGCTGTGGTCCCTGCCTAGGGATGCTAAGCGGTCTACCTGCTGCTCTGGCTGTGGGAGGTACCTGACGTAGGTGGAGGCAACTGTTATACCAAGGTGGACAAGAAAAGCACCTGAAAGAGTTCCCAGACAGACCTGGTGTGACCGCTGGCCAAAGTCAAGAGGGTCAGGAACACTTCCTGGGACAAGGTGGGGCAGGTAGTGAAAGGACAAGGGTCCAGGCCACATCTGCAGAGGCCAGAGCAGCCAGGCCCTTAGGAACATGAGGTAGTTTAAAGCCTGCTTCCCTTCCAGGTGCTTTCGGCTCCAGCCCTCCTGGCCATGGTCAGCCAGGCCACTGATACTGTAAGGGGCAGCTGGGAGGCCTTGGGCTTTCTGTCACAGGGCCCTAAGGAAAACTGCTCGGTCTTATTTGGGGAGATTAGAACTCTGAAGCAAAATTTAGAAATAAGATTTCTGGTTAGCAAATGGGTGAGTGCATGGTCCTTCCCACTGGTTAAAAAATAGGCTATATTTTTAGATTCAGTCCTGGGAGTCTGATGGGATGGTACAGGAAGAGGGACAGGGAATTCCAAAGGTAGAATGTTTGTTCTTTTACCAGTCTGGCCTTTGTCCCATTACCCTTTGAAGAAAATAAGTCAAAGTGAGAATAAATCAGTAGTGGGCACTGGGATTCAGGACATGGCATTTTGCCCTGCTGGTTTTTCAGAGAGCTAGTAGAAAGCAGACTTGATAAGGG